TAGTTTTGCTGGTTGTGTGCATGAGCGAGGGAAATCTGGGGTAACTCTGCTCCTGTTTAGCCCAACGCTCTGTCTGTGAAATTGGAAGAAATCAGGGGGTGGCTCTGTCCTCTAGATGACCCCCTTGGAGGGAGCGAGCGAGCTCTGGGGAGGTTGGATGCTCCCCTTCCTCCTCCTCCACTTATTTTTGTGAGATTGGGGGAGATTTGTGCATCCCTCCCCTTTGATGAGAAGAGTGAGGGGTGGCTCATTGCTCTTTCCCTCTTTGGGCAAGCTTATGTTGGAATATGGGTGAGTGGAATCTGGGAGGAGATGGGGGATGTTTGGAGGCCGGGCGTGGGGTATGGGCATAGATCTGAGCTGCTGTGCTGGGTATGCCGTGGTATGAGGTGTAGCGTTGCTCCAGCGCGGTGTGCACAGGGGGAGCGAGGTGGCATTGAAAGGCCGTTTTGTGTGTGTCTGGGGCGGGGGGTGAGACGGCCCTCTCTCACACAGGCCTGTGAGGCCGGCTCCTGGTGAGACTGGCCGCAGCAGGGTGTCTTTGTGTCTGTGCTGAGCGCTTTGCAGAAGAGCATTAGAGCTCGCACTAATCTGATCCAGCAGCTGGGATTGGAGGGGCCAGGGTTACCATGGTAATCAGGCCCCAAGAGAAGCTGTCCCCAGCAGCCTCTTTTGTTCAGGCCTAACTCGGCGTTGGCAAAGCTAGCGCGGCCCGGAGAAGAAAGGCTCAGGAGAATGGGCCTGGGAGTGGCAGGGATCCCAGCGGGGGCTCTGCCCAGAGAGGCACCCAACAGCCAGCCACAACAATAGCCGCCCGCCAAGGACTGCCACTCACATTTAGCGCTTGGCCACATGAACTTGGCTGCTGGGGCCAGCCGGCCCCGCTAATCCCGCCTCCCCTGCCCTGGGTTTCCATGGACACAGAAGCCTATTAAGGACACACATTAGCAGTTTGCGAGTTGAATGTGCACCCGGTGCGGTGCTCGGCAAGGCCTGTGCCGCCGGGAATGTGCTGAGGGCTGAAGGGGAGCCTGGCCTTCTGCTCTCCAGGAGCTGCAAGCTCAGCATCCCCTGGCTTCCATTCCTGGCACTGATCTTGGACAAGTCACTTTGCTGCTCTGTGCCTCAGTTTCACCATCTGTGAAATGGGACAAATAATCTTGACCCACCTCACAGGGAGGCTGTGGGCTTTATTGGTTCATGTCTGTAAAGCACCCATGCTTGGCATTCCTAGGTGCATCTCCCTGGCAGAGTGTGAGCCTCCTGTCTGAACCCCCTGGCCTTGCCTACTGAGAGCAGGTGGCAGCAGCAGAGCACACAGTTAGGCACTTCCCAGGTTTCCAGGCACTTCTGCCATATTGTCCGGATTGCTTAGTTTTTTGCTCTTTCTGCTCTTCAACTGGAAGTTTCTTTGTTCTTGCTTATCTTTCATAATCTACCTTGCTCTCCACAGGGTGGTGCTGTTTGAGTCCTGTGTTGTGTAGTTTGAGAAACCCTGTCAGGGTGCTGTTTGAGATGCAAAGTCCCTCCCTGCTCTGAGCTGCTGGAGTGAAGGGTATCCTGCAATGAGCTCCACTTGCGTTTTGTTGTGTGGGTTTTGGAGTGTTTTAGTGTACGTTGTCCCCAGGACAGCGTGAGGCTCTTAGGATGAATCAGGGCCAGCCCAGCTTGTTGAAGTGTCCTGGGAGTTACCGTGGCAATGCTAGCCTGATAACTCCTCGTGGGACTGTTGTGTGACACAGCAGGGCGATTACAAGGGAGTTTGACTGATGGGATGGGGAATTGCAAGTAGCCACCCCATGCTGGGACAGTCCTGGGCCACTCATGCTGCTCTGACAGTGCACCTCAATCCTGACGATTTGTAACCCTGGCTGAGCCAGTCCTGAGCCCCTCAGCCTGCTGATGCACCTTAATTCTAACCCGCTGGCGTTCAAGTTTGGGCCTCTCCTAAAAGAAATTCACCAGTTGTGCTGAACTGTGGGTCAATTTCCAAACTAGTCTGAGCCCATCAAACTTATTTAGCCTGTTAGGTTGGAAGGACGTGACTCGGGGGCTCTTGAGGTGAAAGTCTGAGGAATCCATTTTGCTGTGTTTTTGAACCGTTCTTTATCTGAGTTCACTTCTATCGATACTCTAAAAGTGCATTTGTGCTGGTGTATAAAACGGTCCTGGTCCTAATGGGATTTTGTCTGATCCTAGAGCTCCTGGATGGGAGGCTCAGGATATTGAGAGGGTGCGGGAGATGGCTGAGTTTTGTGGCACTGCTGTCGCATTCATGTAGGGGACAGTTGTTTTCAGACTGTCCATGTAAATAGGCTTTACATTGACAGCCTGGGTGGGGGGTTGTTTAGAGTGGACAATCTGACTTTGGAGGACTAGATTTCAGAGGGGATTGGCTGATTTTTAGGGGACTGCTGCTAGCTCCGTCAGGACATGAGGCTTAGTTTGGGATGGTAGCTGCTGTGATTGGGTTCAAGCACTGCAAAGGTGCAGCCGCTGATTTGAGGGTGTTGCTGAGAGGGGCATGGTATTGTGCTCCATCCCACTCAGGCCCACAGAACCTTAATTAACCCATGGGATCCACCAGTCATGAAAGCTCCCTCCCTTTCCAAGCTCTGCAAGTAACAAAGACCGTTGTAAAAAGTGGGTATGGCTGACAAGATAGCGTAAGCGAGCAGCTGGAGCATATTTCCACCCATTGGGCAACTCCCCCCCGCACCTGCCTCAGCGGAGAGAAGCAGGTAGCACTGAGTGTCAGACAAAGCGTTGGTTGTCATATCTTCCATCTAAACTGTTAGGACCCCTTCTGCTCAGCTTGGATCACTAGTGAGTTTCTTGGGTCTTGGCCTCACTGACCTGATGGATCTGGGGCCTAGCTGGGAAAGTTCAAATCCCACTTCGCTGGCTGCAGTGTGGCATGGGATGGTAGCAGAGTCCTCTGTGTGTCACTCTGCTCTTTGGAGCTGGCAGATGTGGGTGGTGACCCCTATTCTTGGGGGGACCCAAGTGACCACACGACCCTTTTCCATGTGACATTGTGGAGGGTATTTAGTAATGGCCTCCTTCCATCCTCCCATCTCACCTATGGGAGAAAGGTGCCCCTTTATCTCACTGGCAGCTGAGGCTGATGGAGCCCCCTTGTCAGGGGGATGTTGGTAAGCTCCCTCCCCCAGCTCATTCCAGCTGCAAGCTCTCTTTTGAATGAAGCCTGGGGCGTGGCCATCTGACAGTGCTGGTTGGTAGAGATGGGCTCAGCCCCTTGTGCTTCAGGCCACGGACTGCAGGGCCTTTCTGGGGAGGCAGCATCTCAGCCTCCTTCACTGACCAAGGCTGGGAAGGAGGAAAACGGGGAATTGTAAGTGGGGGTGGGAGAAATAGCTGATCCCAAGCAATGTAGGCTGCTTTGGTCCCTCCCGGCTGTCGTTGATTGAGGCAGAGGAAGGCCCTGGCTAGCTGCTGGATGGATACTGTTGTCCCTCCCTTGAGCACTTGCACATCCAGTTTCATAATCAGATTAAGGCAGTGGTATTAGTGAGGAGCATGGGTCAGTGGGACAGGTTTACATGGTGGTTTACGCAGAGGGGATTGGACTGCATTTTTAACTCTGCTTGGGCTGTCTTGTAGCTGCACAGATTTGCTTCTCTACAAGGAAATACCCAGCAGAGCACAGGCAGGGGAAAGAAAGTTGCACCAGGCACTGGTGGGGGCAGGGGGTGGAGAGGGAGAGTGGCCCCAGGGTGGGGGGAGGGGGATAGTTGGTGTCTGCTTCCACTCCCCCCATTCAGTAGGCAGTACTAGCTCAGTCCTTGCAGTAAATTTGCTCTAATTACATCCTCCAGCAGTGAGAAACTTCACTTAGAGGAAAGCTCCTCTGGGGTGGAGGTGGCTTCCAGGGCCGGTGCAAGGAAGTTTCGCGCCCTAGGCGAAACTTCCACCTTGCAGCA